TAACCATTCTATCCCACTCTCCTCATGTACACAGAAAAGACACAACTCTTCGAGACATTTGTCTTCAGTTTATTGGGACTCCAATCCATCAATCAAAATCAAAATCTACCTCTCAAGTTTTCGATCCGGCTAGTTTACCTTGACGCACCTCGAGATCTAAGTCACAATGCACCCCTGGCACGATACAAATCGCAAGACCTTGGATCAATATTCTGTCGAGACCTCGCCCGCCCAGCTTCAGCAGCACCTGGCACCTCCTTAAAATCACTACATGACGTTCGATTCTGTGTTGGAGACTTTGTCGACATCGCCCTCATTTCCTCGTTTTCCGCTCTTCCTTCTGGAGGGATAACGGCATCCTCGGAGACAGGAAGACCAGTCTTTGGAATCAGGGGTGCTGCTCGGGGTTTCGCAAGCGCAGCGCCGGCGGCCGAATCAACTTCTTGGGGCAGATCGAACGCAGCTCCTCGCTGGGGTGGTCAGCCTGAACGACGTGGTGGCTCTGGAACGTATGAAGCATCGCATCCACCCGATAATGGTAGATGGGGCCACAATTCCGTCACTTATTCCGAACGAACAAACGGCGGCAATCACAGAGCAGGAAACGACCGCTACCGGGAGCGAGGAGGTCCTAAATGGGCTAGCGCTAGTGTACCACGTCGAGATAGCCGTGAACGAAGTCCTCCCCGTCGGAGAAGATTGTGAAAAATTGTACAAATCATATATAGAGGGACCAATTGTGAAGCATCATCCTTCTTCAAGTGAATCAAAACTTTTCTCCGATCAAGCCTGTTTGTGCTTCATTTGATAAACCTGTCAGTTACTCGATTGAGCATGCACATGCACAGAGTTCGCGACAAGTGGTTTTTCTGAATGTAGTTTCAAAACAGATACTCCCCAGACAAAAAAAAAAACTGCTTTATTAATATCATGAAAGTATAAGATTCTTCGTCTTGAGACAGATTATTGAGACTCCAGAGCTACAGAGCATACAATGCCTTCCCAGATTTCTACCCTTTTCTTTTTCCTTGGAAGAGGGATTGGCTCCCTGTGCGGCAGTGTCTGAAGTGTGACTTGTAAGATAAGATAGTACAAAGTAGAGGCTGTGGGTATATCTTTGAGGTATTGAAAGTTGGAGCCCCCCCAGGAGAATTGGCAGTTCAACAAGAAGAGTTGACAAGCTGCCAGTCCATTATCCTTCTAGTAAATCTTCATCAACTCTGCACAGCCACTCATGGCTATGAGGGCCTGCTCCATAAATGATCCATATATATATATCCTGGCTTTTGTACAATGATTGTAGTTATACTTTCAAAGACTCTGGTGAAATTTCTGCCATGAGCTCTAAGCTTCATCAAACATAGTCAAACAAGTGTTCCCTCATGGCCATATGTTCATCCCAGCAGAATTTTTTCAAGATTATCTCCAAAATTTTCACTTGCATTGATCCACAAACCTAACTTGGGCTGTAAATCAACCTCACAAATCACACTTTCCTCCAGGAAAAACAAAAGACTGGTAGTTATATACTCCAAATCAAGCAAGCTTTCAAACTTGAGATAGCTTACAACCTCTCTTTTCTTTTATTGAGGCCAAATGATTTCACAGGCCCTTGGGCCTTCACAGAACTTTTATATACCCCCAAACTTACCTTTTTGGCCCGGTGCTGTGGTTTCATCCCAAATTGTTATTTCAATCTCTATTAGTCAAATTGGATTCCACAGTTGTTGACACCCCTTCTACAAATGACATGTTTGCAAAGCTCCTCGTTCAAGCTGTGAATCTGAGATGAAACTTGCTAAGACCATCTCTAACAGAGTTGTGATTAGGCAACCGGGGGCAACCTTTGGTGTCCTGGGTTTGTCTTTTTGCACTTCAACAGTCCTGGAAAACCAAAATGGAAAAATTGGCAGGGAAGTCAAACCCATGATCATCTCCCAACTTCTGTGGCTCACCTCCCAGCTGCAATTGAGTACCCTCAACTCACCTACATCCATTCAACTTCCCAACAAAGATTGACATAATAGCATGGGCACATGCAGCAACACCAACTCACAGCTCTCCAAGGAATACAAAAACAGCTCAAGGAGTGGACACAGTTGCAAAAAACTGATGTTGATGGATTGTCACTTGATTTGTTGGTTGGCTTATCTTTTTGTATCAGATTGTTTGTTAACTTGTCTCAAAATGCCTCTTCATTTTTTCACCAATGTTCACATTATTGACAAAATTGAGAGCAAAAAAAAACAAGTGTGAGAAAAAAATATTTGCAAACAATGAAAAAATATGAGGCAGGTGTGGGAAAAAGTTGACAATGCCAGAGTAGGACAAGGTCCACAAAGATAACCTTTGAACTTGGTCAAAGAGGCTTAAGTTTCTTCAATGTAAGACTTTGAGGTGGATCAAGACTAAGTGACACTCAGAGGAAAAGCTTGGTCAGGACTAATGGTTTCTCATTGGGCTATTATCTAGAGAGATTAATTGATCTATGTACAAGCAGCACAAGTGCAAACAACATGAATTTAATGAATAAGAAATCAAGAGAAATGAATTACAAGGTTTGTAAAGCTAACCTTTGAACTTAGTCAAAGAGGATTAAGTTTCTTCAATGTAAAACTCTGAGGTAGATCAAGTGAGGGGAGTGATAACCACACTCCACCCCCCTTTGCACACACACTCCAACACTCCCTTCTCTGAAGGGAGTGTGGGACCGCACTACAATCGAAATTGGAGTGTGGGTCCACACTCCAACAATCTGCAGGGGCAGTCCCCCAGCAGGTTGGAGTGCGCTCCCACGCGCCAATATGCTTTGGCATGTGGGCCCACACTCCCCTTCTGAGGGGAGTGTGGGAGTTTGGATATGTACTTTTATATACATACTGGGCTATCCCATAGGACCCAGGCCTGGGTCCTATGGGATAGTCCAGGGGCTTGAGGCCGTTGAAAATAAAAAAAAAAAAAAATTCTTTAGGGCTGGGAGGAACCCCTCCCAGCCCACGAATGGCTATGGAGTCTTGAGGCCGGGAGGGTTCCTCCCGGCGAGCCGGTTTTTAAACCAGCTCGTCGGAAGGGATTCCTTCCGACGAGCTGGTCTCTGTGCCACCTCGTTGGAAGGGGTTCCTCCCGGCGAGCTGGGCTTTAAACCAGCTCGTCGGAAGGGATTCCTTCCGACGAGGTGGTACAGAGAAGTATCATGCATTGAGATATCAACTGCTGGCTGGCTCTTCTCACTTGTCTTTGATGACTGATCTTTTGCCAAAGATCTTCCTTCCTCCATTTTTGTTTTGAGAAACTTAGGCGACAATTATAAACAGATTTTGGTTTTTTTTTTCAAAGTTTTTTGAGTTATGTTTGAAATCTGTTTTTTAATTTTTTATGAGCAGAGGGGGAACTGAAAACTAACCCAAAAAATTCTCAAACAACATGCAATTATAAACCCGCGCGGTCCAATTCACATTGAAACATAAATTACCAAGCCCCAGTGAGAGACAGATAGAGACAGATACAGCGGGTGTCTTCCAGCTTCGTCTTAATGTTGCCGCCCCCAATTAACCCCACTGCACTGATCCAATTCACGGCCCTATGGCATTGGCATCGGCTGCAGCAAACACTCGATCAGCAGGTGTACATCCGAGCCGAGCGGGTTGCATTCGTCAGACCAAACCGCTGGGAGCCTTGGAACGACGATCGGATACCGGCGGTGCGCTTCGTGGAATACTTTCGGATGTCGAGGGCTGATTTTCAATGGCTGTGCGACGAGCTTCGCGAAACGTTGGTCCAAGATCCCCTGCGCCGAGGTGCCCCGTTGTCCGTTGAGGCACAGGTGGGAGTGGGCCTCTATCGAGTCGGTCACGGGGCCACTTATGTGACCATCTCGAATGTCTTCAATATTGGAAAGGAGACCGCGGACAAAGCTTTCAGCCGCTTCGTCAATGCGGTTCTCAAGGTACTCCGGTTACGCACTATCAGGTGGGTCCTCTGCCACATTCCTTTGCTAATGTGGGATGTTGTACAACTTACTCGTCCGTCTGCACTCACCCAGTTTCCCTGATCTAGACGCTGCTGAGGAATGGAACGAGATCAAGGCTTCGTTTGAATCTTGCCATGGGATACCGGATGTTGTTGGGGCAATAGACGGCACTCACATCCCATTGGCGATGCCTCCGTCTGACGAGTGGAAAGGTTACATCAATCGTAAAAACTGGGCTTCCTTGGTTTTTCAATGTGTTGTCGACGGACACGGGAACTTCCGAGATGTAAGTCACATCGACCAGTGCCCTCTGGCTCCGGTACACGTTTTGGCAGGCGTTTGTAACACTGAACATGGATAAAAATAGGTGTTTGGCGGCGGGGCAGGGTCAATCCATGATGGCCGAGTCTTTCAACGCTCACCCATCGGAAACAGTCTGAACCGAGCGTTGGGATTGCCTCTGATGATCCCTCCTCGGACACATCTCATCGGCGACGCCGGTTACCCATCCGATGTCAACATCCTCGTCCCATACCCGTCTATTGCGGCTCCGGAAAACGACTACTTCAATTACATACAGTCGGCGACCCGGATTGTAGTAGAACAGGCCTTTGGCCGCCTGAAAAATTGTTTCCGGATCCTCCTGACCGCTCAGAAGGCTCACCCTGTTCGCGCGCGGAACACAACGTTTGTGTGCATGATCCTGCACAATCTTTTGAATCGCAGTGGCTCTCTCTATTTGCAAGGATGGGACCAGCGGTCACGACACGAGTTATGTTTTGGGGAACTCCCGCGGCTTGGAGAACACGACCTAACGCCCCCTGGGCCTGGTGAGTCCATGTGGACTCGGAGGGATAGGATAAGAGACTCTTTATATGTTGGATGAACGACTATGGATGTAATTGCACGACAATAGAATATGTAACTACTCTGGTGGTTCTACTACAATTAGATAGGAATTGGCAATGCGCATAGGTTAGTGCTATGCGCAGATCACTAACCTATGCGCGACTGTTTATGATAGCACTAAGGGTTATTTGTGTTGGAGGCCTCCTGGCAGAGGGCACGCGCTGCCCCAAGAGTTATCCCAAGGGACGTGAGTTCGGCCTCATTCGACAGGATAAAGTGCTGCCAACGGTTGATCCGATGTTGGAGCAATATCTCCCGAGTGTGTTGATCCTCCAGGTCGATCCCACAATGGATGAGGAATCTTGCGAGCTCGCCAATGTGATCTGGGGGGGTTGACGGCCAGTCAAGAGGTGGCGCATCTGGTCGTGCAATTGGACCCGCCGGGGGGTCATCTTCGTCATACGTCGTCGTAAGTTGGCTCCTTGCGGGATCGATTGGGGCCTCAGGGGCGGTCAGGACTGGGGGAGGGTGATTAGGCCTGGTGCGCACGTTCGGTCGGTTGTGGGGAAGGTCCGCACTGGGGCTCCTCTTGTGGGGGTTGTTCTGGGGAGGTCATGGGGTGGTTAGTTATGTCTGCAGGGTGGTTTTTGTTGAGGGATATGCACCAGGTGCTCACCTGGTCGAGGGCATTCGCATTGGTCGCATGACCGGTCGCTCGCGTCCAAAGGTTAGCAGCATTGTTGTTTGGGGAGTCGCCTATTGGACCGGCGGCCCGGCGGTGTTCTTCAACCATTACGTATGTCCTGGTGGTGGCGATAGGGTCGGAATCAGGGACCGGACGGGCGTATTCTGGGGTGGGCCGACGGACAGCGGGGAGGTAAGGCCACATCAGCTCTTGAGGTTCTGATTCAGGTTGTGTGGTTACCCTCGTGTGCATGCTTTGGTGATTGCTGGGCCTCACCACATTAGGGCTGGGTTCCGCGGGCGGGTTTGCTGCTCAGATGGATCACCGCTCATGGCCGGGCTGGTGTTTTTCAGGGTAACATCTGGAGAAATCGACCGCCAAATGCGCAATCCAATTCAAAGTGTTTGCTGGACCAACGATGGTGTCGCCGGAGGCCCAGATAGCATTGCGATCCTTTTGGCTTGGCTCATAGGCGGGGACAATTACGCACGATGGAGGAGTGGGGACGACAAGGATGAGCTCTACCGGGAAATCTTAACCAAATTCACCAGACATGGGATTACTCATCGGGAGCGATCAGGTAAGAGTTGTTCATTTGAACCCAGCTGCTTCAGTTGCTATACTGACCTAAATCACGGTAGCAGAGCTCAACCTACGACTGTGCTTACTTCAGGTATCATTCAACTCGGCCGTTGAGTACCTTCAGGCCAAACGGGAACCACAGCGGGCAATTCCACTTAGTGAGGCCCGGGTATCAGGTATGTCATTCCCCAATCAGGTGCCTTGACGCTCATGACATGTGGCTGACCTGAGCCGGGTTCCTGATCAGCACGGGTACTGAGGATATGCCCCTACTGGGACCTACTAGTCCAATTCATGGAAGTCGGACCTTGTCCTCCAAGTCCGCTCCAGATCACTAGTTAAATTTTCTCCTGCATTATTGCTACCTTGGGTCTGAACCTAGTAGTCATTGCCATTCGAAGTTATATAATTCAGCGGTTGTTGTATTTCTATCTATCAGTGGTAGGAGAGAAATAACACAAAAAAAAAATCCAACGATAAATGATCAGATTAGGATAAGAACGGAAGAGGAGAAAATGTGATCGACAATGAGCCAACCGGTCATACATGCCTCAGCAACCGCCTACTTAGGCGGAACATGTGGCTGCTCTATGGACATCCCCATGGCCCTTAACATGGCCAGCTCAAACAGCTGTCGAGACTGCTGCTGCTTCTCCGCGCGCTCCTCCCTCTCCTCCTCTCGCTTCACCTCTGCGGCCTTGCGGGTTACCGCCTCTTCTCGCTCCCGCTTGCGGTCTTCCGCGGCATCGAGTGCGCGTTGGTCGGCAGCCTGCCGTTCCATACAAATCTGATGATCGGCCAGATCCCCCTCGACCTTCAACTGCTCCCAAAGGAGCTCCCGCTCCTCCTTGGCCTGCAAGAACTCGGCCCGGCGGGTCTCCTCCTTAGCCTCCTCGCGCTTCTCGGCGGCCCGCCGGTCTTCCGCACGATCGTTAGCCCGAGCGTCCTCGATCCGATGGCGTTCCGATCTCTTGATTGCTCGTAATTCATCCTGACGAGCCCGCTCATCGAACTGGTCTTTGCGATCCTGCGCGGCCCAAGCCGCCGATGCGTCCTGTGACTTCTGCATCATGACCATCATTCCAGTGGCCGCCGAGTCGTCTTCTTTCGGCTTGTCTTCCATCCTCCCACGTCGACGCGGGACACTCCCGCCATCGGCCGGAGGGCGGCTTACCGGTGCCTTTGACAGAGGCGTTTTCACCTTGCCCTTGGTTGATTTACGTGTGACCACAGGGGGGGTCGCAGGCGTCACTGGTTCACCAGGGGTTGGCGGACCGCTCGTTGGCAGGAGGCTACCCCCAGTGGGCCCCACCCGCGTGCCGTCGCCCATCGGGAGCAAGAGAGCCTCCGGCAGGTCCGATTCGGAGTCTGAAGCGGAGTCGAGAGCTAGTTCGGCGGGCGTCAGACCGGCGCAGAGCCGCTGGTACTTGGTCTGTCGACCCGGTCGGCGGGTAGGCTCCCCCTGAGGAAGATCACTATGTTCACTGTCTGATGATGACGAGTCACTGGCACTGCCCAACGGAACAGCCTCGGCGAGGAGACTCTCGTATTCTGCATAAGACGAGGTCAACCCAGCCCCTGTCGCAGCCGGGTTATCTCCATGCATGTCCAGAATCAAGTTCCAAACCTAAGAATAAAGTCAGCACCCATGCAGGTATCCCCAAGGTAATACAAGGGGCCCTTACTTCTTGTGAGCTCTTCGCGCTGCTTAACTCTGCAGCTAAACCACCCGACCCGGATCGGTCGATTGTGTCTTTGATTTTCTGAGATCAAACCGTAGTTTAATAAAACGCATAACCCAAAACAAAAGGAAACAAAGTCCTCACCTTCCACTTATCCATGACCGCGCGGTATCGGGCCAGTCGTGCCGCCGTAGGGACCGACTCCAGTAGTGGAAAAGCCTCCTCGCGGCCGGTATATGCAGCGAAATATTTACCAAAAGGAATGAAACCCCCGGTGACCCGTGTTTGACTATGGTCCTCCTTGACCATGCGCACAAAGTTCAAAAGCTCAATGGTCTGTTCGTCCGACCAAGTCGCTCGAGGAGCCACATTTGCCGCCGCCTGCGCCTTCAGCATCTTCTTGGCCGCGGATGCTGTCTGCCTATGACGCGCCTCGGCCTCCTTGTCGGCTTTGTTCTGGGCCTTTCTGGCTCGTTTCTCGGCCGCGATTACTCCTGCCAGGCGCATTTGCTCTGCTGACCGCTTTGGCCGGCGAGTCCCCGCCGGTGGGACAGGCGTGCTTGATGCAGGTGCGACAGGGGGGATTGACAACGTTCCGGAAGTTCCCGGTGCGCTCCCCGCAGGTCGGACAGGGGTGCTTGTTGCAGGTGTGACTGGATGGATTGACGAGATGCTTGCAGTTGCCGGTGCGCGTGTCATTTGGTACATCGGTAATGGTCCAGGGGCGGCCCCTTGCGCAGGCACTTGAACGGATGCCTGCTGCATGTGTACGTTCATCGGTGGCAGGTGATCGGATTGGTCTGACTGAAGATCGAGTCGATTGAAACGATTGTCACCCAAACCGGCGGGGTTAGAGGAGTTAGACCCGAGTTGTGCGTAGTGATCTGCCCGGCGATATCCATCGGCCCCAAGAGCAGGTCCTGGATTCAACTGTGCGGCAACCGATCCGGTCTGATTACTACCTGAGTAGCCATTCATCTGATCGTAAGGGCCCCGCCCCATTTGTCGGCGCGGCTGAATATGCTCCTCTTCAAGGCCCGGATGATCCCAACCCCGATGGGCATTGGCCGCGGTTGTCTGGGTGAGACGGTTGTAGAGGGGTTCGAACGAATTTGGGTCGTGTGATTGATAGTGCAAGCCTTGGGACTGCTCGGGGTCGTCAGTCGTATACGGATTGTCCATCGGTGCGAATTTGCCGCCGCTCTGGTTCTTGTTGCGTTAGGATTTGCAGCACCGTATACATCTGATGCCTCTGTCCGACCATCCTCGCTGCCATACCCATGTCCCGTAAGCAGTATTGTTGGCTTGCGGGCTGTATGGACGTACAGCTGCATACAGACCGTAAGGGATGTATGAAATCACCTCAAGCCTGTATTGAGTTCCCATAAGGGACATTGACGGATTTTCTGACTTCAAACAACCTCTATGAGGTTGTTTGAAAAGTTTTTCATCAAAAAAAATAATCAAAAATCACTATGAAAACCAGTCGAACATAAGTCAAAAAAGTTTGAAAAAAAAACCAAAATCTGTTTATAATTGTCGCCTTAAACCAATGTATCATTTCTTTTTGTTTGTTTTTTTTTTTTAAAAAAAAACCTGTCAACAGTTCATCATGGGAAGTTTTTTGAATCAAATTCGAAAGACAAGCCGTACATATGTACGAGCTACATGATAGCCAAGACGATATATTATGTGTCAGATGTCTCTGAGATCCCGGAAGAAACGATGACGACGATTCTGGAATCTGGAGAGCCACTCTGGAAGAGGAGATGGTGGTGGTGGACGATTGAAAGTGTTGATAATCGACACTTTACGGCTCTTGCCTCATGCCTCCCATTTTGGGATCGCCCAAGCCATCCACGCCGCTCAAAGACTAAACCCCATCCGCACTTATCTGGTCGGCTTCACCGTCGTTCGACCGACTTCGAAGCCTCTTCTTCTTCTTCCCCCTCATCACAGCCCAACATCTATCCCCCACAGGCTCGAGATCTAGTAGTAACAGAACAAGACTCAGGAAAGTCGAGACAAGTCTTGTTGGAAAAGGGAGTCGTCGAAGAGTATGATCGGTTCACTGGCCAAGCCCTCCGACTCATCGAAGCTGATAATCCTCCTCTTTCAAACGCTCTTGCCCATGAAATGCCCTGGGTTAGGCCTGCTTTTGATGGCTTGTTAGTCCATACTAGTCTCCTTTCTTCTCAAGTCACTGATAATTTTTATGATTGATTTTAAGTACATTTTATGTCAGATAATTTTCTTCAGTCTCCAATTTGCGTGATTTTGCTTTTGTTCTTTGTTATAATCTGATCATCGCCAGCATTGATGCATACAACTATTAATAGATCTACGTGCCGTTTCGATCATCCTTAATATTATATAATGCTAGTTTCATTCTCTATTTGAACGGGTTTCATACTGTATCAAGCATAATAAAAAGAGCAAAGAAGGAGAATGTGTAATTCCCAGCAACACAAAGCCAATGAACTTGATCTTTTTTTTCTGATATAAGCATGATATATGGGGAGAGAAGAAGAAGGAGAAAAAGATCAAGTGGGTTTCTTTTTCTTGGTGTCATCAACAAAGACGATATCGTCATCAGGAATGATCCCATTGCCGATGATTTCGGCGAATTTACCAGTGGTTGAATCGAATAAATCCAAGACCTGATGAGACAAAAAAAAAGAATCAAGGGAGATTAAGAAGCAGACAATCAATTGAGAGAAAGAGGATCGATTTAGGAAGGGGAGAGTTGGGAGTACTTCGTCTGAGACGTCTCCTTGGATCACAATCTCGTCTTCTCCTTGGTTGTTCTTCGTCACTGATGAGCCGGTGGCGAACTTGGACGCAAACAGTTTCGCAAGTTTCTTCAAATCGACACCTACAAAAAAAAAGCCAAAACCAAAACCACAAAAAAAAAGGTAAGAAATCGTTCCTCAGAAAGCTTCATAGATGTAGAGAACACAGAGAGATGCGGACCGAAGAGATCCAATCCATGAATCGTAGTGATCCGTTTGCGTTTGGTGCGTTTGACGGTCTTGACGGTGACCTTATTGGTTTTAGATTTCTCCTTGATTCGGCTGGCTTTGGCGTCCTCCTTGGCCTCCTTCTTGAGCGCCTCGGTCTCGGCCTTCTTCTTCTTCTCCACCTCCTCCACACTCATCGACGCCAGTTCTTGCTCGATCCCGCCATATATCTCTTCGTATCTCTTTTGGTCATGCGTCGACAACCAGGTCTTGCATCTACATAATTGGTTGATTGGGTCCAGTCGGACAGGATGGCGTCAGTTTGTGATGTTGGCTTTGAGTTTTTTTCGGTCCGGTTCCCGGCTTGGACTCACTTTGATATGCTGGTTCCATACTCACCCTTCCGACAAGCTGGTTTAAAGCCCAGCTCGCCGGGAGGAACCCCTTCCAACGAGGTGGTACACAGCCCAGCTCGTCGGAAGGAATCCCTTCCGACGAGCTGGTTTAAAAACCGGCTCGCCGGGAGGAACCCTCCCGGCCTCAAGACTCCATAGCCATTCGTGGGCTGGGAGGGGTTCCTCCCAGCCCTAAAGAATTTTTTTTGTTTTTTATTTTCAACGGCCTCAAGCCCCTGGGCTATCCCATAGGACCCAGGCACCTGTGACCCCTACTATACACCATACTATAGACCTGTACAGACGGGGACACTAGACACTGTATACGGACCATCCCCCACCAAAAATTCAAAACCCTGAGATTCCCAGGACACCCAGAAAACCTGGAAAAATATCGGCCGCGAAGCGGCCGAATTTTTTTCCAAAGTCCCCTTCTCTAGCTGCCCCCTGGGACGCTCAGCGTGTACAGTGCTACAGCCTACATAGCTGCCCATAGAGTTGAGATCCCCCGGTCCGCCCTGTCACACTGCCTTGCCTCATCACCCCTCAACCCGGAGTCATATCACCAGCACTCCGGTCATAACACTCGCCAATTCGCCACCCGTCCCGGCCAGCTTCATTCTACGCAACCCTACCCGATCCAGTGTTTCAACTTGCAACGGAGGACTGTACTCTCTCGGCTCATTGACTCATCCTAAAAATTCAAATCAAACAATTTGACTCGCCTCACGGCCGGCTTCTCTCTCGGCTCATCGACTCACCCTCAAAACTCAAATCAAACAATTCGACTCGCCTCACGGCCAGGAACGCAAGTCACCTCACCTTTCATCGCTAAGGGCTCCTCCAACATCATCGCATTTGGCTTCCTGTAATCAACATCACACCAAGTTGAGTCCTCCACTTGATAATCATCAAGACTTTATAGCTAAACTGATGTTTCTCACTTCCCGTTGTGGTGTGCTGTGCCTGTTCCAATGCCAAAAGCATACAGAAGAGGTGATAGTGACACACAATTATCATTCATTACAAGAGGAGGAACATTCATTACATAGGACATACAACAACAGGATAAGGTATACATATGTACATGTGTTGTGTGCGTGGGTAGGTTATGTAATATGGGTTTATTTATTGTGTAATCAGTGGAAAAGAACATAAGACAGTTGATGAGGAGGGGAGAAGGAAGGTAGGCGGAGAGGTTTTGACCCTGAAGAATGAACAAGGAAGGAAGTAAGCAAGTGTTTCATCTGATGTTTGATCTGTTGCTTCATCTGTTGAGATGAAACACAGAACATTTGGAATGTGGATTTGGTTTCCAAGTCACAAATCTCATAAGACTGTATACTGTACTGGATTACTGCTTTGGAAGGTTTCAGCACATGCTACATGGCTTGGTTTCATAGCAACCAATGACATCATGCTGTGCAAAAGTGTGTCACCTGCAGCAAAAATAACTCACAAGGAGTCCCCTGCAGCAGAAATCCCTCACTCTTCAATATAAAAGGAGGGCCTCTCTCCACCAGGATTCTCTTTTCCCCCCATCAACCTACAGGAGTAAGTTGGTCACCATTAGTTAGTCAGTAGTGTGATTGTCAGAATTAGTTAAGTAAAGTCAGAGATTTATAAGTAGTAGAACCAGAACCATTGAACTATAACAAAGTGAACTTAAGTAGTATTATTAACAAATAACAAATAACAAGTAGTAGTAGTAGTAACACCGGAGCTCTAGTTGTGATTAAAGTGCCTTAGCAAGAAATTGTTCGAGGAAGAGATCATTAACAAACTCTAAATAACAAATTCAACTGTCTTGCGCTCAACCATAAGTGCCACAGTTTCCATTATTAACCTGAAGTTGTAACAGATTCATTAGTAGATTGATACGTGATCTAGGTCTGATAGAGATTACTTTACAAAAGTAAGATCTATCTTGGAATCAGCCACATATTCTTAAATATTGATTACAAGACTCTTAGTTATTTGTTTAGTACAATTAGAGGGGCAGGTCTTTCAAACCACCCGTAAGTTGTAATAGCCTTTCAACCTATTTGCAATTTATTTCCCCCTCAAGGGATCTTTTGATTTACATATACTTTACCGTGTCTATCCGTCCCAGGAGTCCTACACCGTTCAACCTCTCCAGAAGAAAACAACCGTTCATGACTATCAAGCGTATTGTCGTTTGTGGCACCGACCGCACGCAGCAAGTCCGTCGTCGCATCTACGCAGGTCGAATTGCTTCCAATTTGTCAAGATTACACAGTGCTGAAAATGCTGACAGACAACGAGCACAACGGCCCATGAGTGAACCTAATGAAAACGTTATGGATCATCCAACCGGGTCATTCCATGTCTTTCAAGACAATGAACAAGAGGACCGGGAAGACATCAACGAAGACGAGCATGAAGACAAGACCGAACAGGCCCCTGTATGGGTTGACTTGATTGAAGAACAGCCAGACGACATTGATGATCTGATTGCAGCCAACAAAGAGCGACATCGTCAACAAGCACGCGACTTCAATTGGGCTGTACTCATCAATTACCTCTTGCCAGTCTACATGAGGCTACGAATAGTGACCAAAAATTGGTCGTCTACTAATAGTTATGATACGTTTTCCAGCTGCTTGACAACATGTTCGAAGAAGTACAATCGCTTGGTTGATTTGGTTGATATACATGGCAAGTTTTATTTTTATCATGAATTCCCTCAATTTTACTAACTATGATTCTCCCAACTAGGTCAGCAACGCAAGCAAGTCACCTTTTGTGAATGTACTATGGATGGTGTTAGGCTTCTGCAACAAGGATACCTTGCTGGCTCACCAGTCAAGCCACAGACTGCTTTTTCGCTCCCGCTTCTCATTTTCCACAACAGCCTCTGGAATCACTGCCACATAGGTGCACAGCCCTTCACATTAGCCCTCAACGATTGGCTTGAACCTCGATCACAGAGATTGTGTGCCCGAAAAGGAAAACATGTACGCTTTATCTTTGTTTACACAGATTGATGTCTCGATTGATGTCTCACTAAATCAACCCTTGTGTTATTTTAACTTCATAGCCCAGACAGCTCCGAAAACCATTCTCAGCTGCAGTTGACATGTTCCGACAGCTGGAAGAGAAAAGGAAAAAGTCAATCTTCTCGGTGTTGGGGCTCTCTAACCAGGAAGTATTGGCTTCCTCATCCTGCCCTGCTTGCTTTGGGCCACAGCCCCCTAATTTGTCTGATTATACTGCCAACATGCGCAATCGGCTTATAGTTTGTCTTGATGGCAACTTCCAGCACCGTCACCAAATCAAAGCTAGTCGCAATCACGAAAAACTACGCACACCTCAATTTTTCATCAGCCAGGCGGATGTCGATATTGTCTCACAAGAAATTCGAGACCAAGAAGCTCAAGGAATGACTCCTGAACAGGTGCGATCATTCTATTTGAAAATTATGAATGAAACTGAGGAGACCTTTCATTTCCACAGGCCGATCGTTGTACAGAATCTCAGAGCAATGAGTTTTTACTTAGAGGAGACTACGCGTTAAATAGTCTACATACAAGAGGTCAAACATGTGGTTGAGAGACAGTAAGAATGTCATAATGAATAACAAAAAATGAACAAATTCTTGAATAGATGACTGGAGCAAATGACTATTGATAAAGACTAGACCAGGGTTCGAAGACTACAAGGATTGCAGCACTAGACAACAGGACAAGATACCACGCAGAAACCAACAAAAATTGTATAATAAATTGAATTCTATTATTTAATCATTATTAATTAAAAGACTAAACAGAACAGGATTTTTAGGGATGAGGAGAGAGAGAGATGAAATTCCAACACCCCCCGCTACTCAGAACTAAAAAACCTTAGCAAGAAAAGAATTTGGTGATGGAGAAGATAAAGCGAGGAAGGGAGTGATCGGTGCGTTGAGATTGAGTCATTGATCAGTTGAGAGGAGAAAGCGAGATTGATTGACAAGAAAGGAGTGAGCTTGATTAGAAGTATTTGACTCCTTCAAATCGCATTTCGTCAACGTGATGAAGGATGCCGTCTGCTGTCCGGAAGTGAGAGAAGTCTGTTGGATCATTGAGTTGGTTGTAATTATCTTGAACCGTCATGTGAGCTGAGTGCGATTTTGGGGCTTTTTCAGGGTATTTAACCCAGCAATTGTTGATCCGATGTCCGGGTTTCTTGCAGTGATCGCATAGATTTGTGTTCGCAGAGGCTTGATCGTTTGATCGAGTGAGAAGGGACTGTAACGGTGTCGCCGATACTGAAGGTTTCTTGTCCAGATCGTTCTGAGCTACATAGCTCTCGAGTTTCTTAATGACAGATTCAAAAGATTCTGAACCATAGTTCATCAACACGATATCGCGAAAGGAGCGATAGTCCGAAGGCAACTTCTTGAGCATCAGGATTGTTCGGACGCGATCATCCAGGACAAGGCCCGACATCGATATTTTTTGGTTTGCCGATTGAACGGCGGGGATAAACGTGGTGATAGAGGAAAAGCTAAGATGTAGAAATTGATCAAGAGCGGTCGTTTGAGAGGTGAGGTCGTCACCAGCGTATTGCGACTTCAAGAGCTTCCAGAGACCGCGACCGTTGAAACGAGGGGTTGCAGGCAAAGCAGAACTGACAAACCCGAGTACTTCTTGACCGATGTAAGCTATGATTTCAGCATAGGCATCGTTGTTCAGTTTCATCCAATTTTCTTTTTCTTTTTCTTCCGGTTCTACTTGACCTTCGAGGATGTCGAGGAGTTTTGATCTGAAGAGTTTCGCCTCCATCGGTAATAGCCAAAGGGCATAGTTGCTAGGAGTCAAGAGGACCTTGGTTTCACGAATCACTTCGGTGGACATGTTGTTGTGTTTGTTGTTGAGGCTGAGATTTTGAGAAAGAGAGAGTTTGTTGTTGCAAGTCTTTCGACTGTTAATCGTGAAGAAATTGTGACCGAAGACGCGGAGAATTTTTGAGAGAAAAATTTTGGGGGCAACAAAAATGAATTTTGTTGGACTGACTCAAGGGTCGGGAAAAGAATGAGAGAGCCAATCAGTTTTTTACTTAGAGGAGACTACGCGTTAAATAGTCTACATACAAGAGGTCAAACATGTGGTTGAGAGAAAGAATGAATGTCATAATGAATAACAAAAAATGAACAAATTCTTGAATAGATGACTGGAGCAAATGACTATTGATAAAGACTAGACCAGGGTTCGAAGACTACAAGGATTGCAGCACTAGACAACAGGACAAGATACCACGCAGAAACCAACAAAAATTGTATAATAAATTGAATTCTATTATTTAATCATTATTAATTAAAAGACTAAACAGAACAGGATTTTTAGGGATGAGGAGAGAGAGAGATGAAATTCCAACAGAAATTCGGAACCAAGAAGCTCAAGGGATGACTCCTGAACAGGTGCGATCATTCTATTTGAAAATTATGAATGAAACTGAGGAGACCTTTCATTTCCACAGGCCAATCGTTGTACAGAATCTCACAAAGCAGCAGACGACAAACGTAATGAATCAACATGGAAAGGATGTGATGACACTGGGCTAATGGGATGCTGCTGCCGACATGATGCAGCTATCTATTTGACAAACATATACAAATCTGGCGAGCAGAGGCACTTCCCGATGACCATAATCAAGAAGCTTCTCTCCGACATTGAGCCCAACCGTCAAGTTGGAATATTGTATGATATAGGATGTACAATGGATAAATATATTGATCGTGTTTGTAGTGTTCTCCTCTGCTTCTGATGCTGCAATACATAATTAAGACTTCTATTTTTATTCAAAATTCAGCGCCAACTCATACCACAATATCGAAGCCAACTTAAATTTGGAACATCAGTCTTCCATGCCTATGCCCACAACTGGCTCTGCCAACTTGAATTTCATCCTAGATTCAATAAAGGCTGGGGGTTGTCAGATGGTGAAGGTCTTGAGAGGCTTTGGTCTTATCTCTCCTCTCTTGTCAGCCCCTTAAGGTATGCCACTCGCAATCATCGGTTGGCTGCTATATCACATCGAGTAAAACATCACAACAACAGAGGAATCAAACAGCTTCGTAAGTCCTTTTGTACTAGTAAATGAAGCAAGATAGGCTGGATTTTGATGTGGATTTTATCTTCTTAAACTTTAGCTTACTGGCTCCGGAGAAAGTTTCATCAGGCCATTAAACGGCGACAGGAAACTCAATCAACTCTGACTACACTTCTAAACAAGCGGAACCCTCACGAACGGCTTGGCCAAAACTTCACAATCGACTTCTTCAAGAAACAATGGAAGGCCCAGCAGCAATTTCACACAGAGCACACGGAAGCCGAGATAGACCGTAGGAACAAACTTGTGGCACTCTACAAGCGAGAAGCAACTGTTGAGTACATGAGGTATGCATACAATCAAAGTCACAATCATCACAACTGTCTGACACTTCACCTCAGGGAACGATTACAGGGACCTGAAATTTTCTTGGCCACTGTGGCTGAGGTTCGTGAGCTCATGGACTCAATAGTAGCACAGTCTGACTCATTGGCAAGTGAAATTGCTGAGCTCACTGGTCGAATGGAGGGGGGATCAAACAGAGGTGAGCCCTTCAAGCTGAGATTGTCATACAATATCGATCTCATTGTGCGTTTTTATCAGATTACGAGGAGGAGAAGCTCCGACTGCTTCTCTGGGATGCCAAATCTGAGCTGTTTGTGCAAGCCGTTCATATTCATGCAGAGCGGCAACCTCTACTAAATTCCCATATCATGGGATCACATCTTGGCACCCAAGGAAAAGAGAACATCATTAAAGCACTGCAGAACCGACGTCCAGCTGTCAAGAAAATAATCGATACGTTCAATGGGCTATACGAACAATTCCAACAGAAGTACCCCGAGCAGCATCTGTCGGACGCCCACGACCATCCTCTCACATACGATGACTTTGTTGAATGGGAAATGGATCACCCATTTTGGAATGATGGTTTGTATCACCATATGGAGGCCCCTTGGTCAATCGACCCAGACGTCAAAACGGGTATCAACTGCATTCTAATCCTTCGTCGCGTTCAAGAGGAGTTTGAGCTCATTGCTCAGGAATTGGCCAGGGCTGTCGGTTGGGCCATTCGCAACCCACTCACAACTAACTGAGACTATCGTGCACATCACTACACGTGAGTCAAATTGGAGTATATTTGGTTTGTTTTTGATTAATTACATATTTAAGCAAATTTTGATTTATGTGCAGGTATCAACCTTGTAAAATCTGATCCGAATGTGGCCCACCGATCGATTTGACAATTTGTCTTTTGGAGTGGTCTCCCGGCTTGGTAAATTGGAATTGGTGCAGGAAGAGTTGAAGTTATCTTTGATTGATCATGGCAAGTTGATTGAGGATTGGAATGATCAGGTAAACTCACTATGGAGACAATGCCAGCCAAGTGGTAACAGTGCTCAGTTTCAGCAATGGACTGAATTGATTGACAAGGTCAAAGTTGATCAAAGCACTGTGTTTCCCACTCTTTCAGCATTCAGTCAACCTCAAAATGATGTTGAGGATGCCCTTGAAGAAGCAATATTAGGTGTGGGTTTAGATGATGGAGAAGATGCAGATGAAGAGTGGATGTCAGAAGGGGAGGAGATTTCATGATGCACTTTCACTATTCCAGAGCATCCTTTTTTGAAGCTTGTGGACTATTTACTCCAATTAGTGATTTCCTCTGCTAGTTTTTTTCTCTTCCTTGATTAGTCTCTGCTAGTCTTTCTCACTTGTTTGATCAGTGTGTTGGTGTAACCCAGAACAGCTCCATAGTTTTTTAATTCTACCATTTGACCATCATTGTCAAGAGTAGATACTTATATTAATTCACTGAGTTGGTAAAAATATCAATAATGTGGAGTGAATGATGATAATCATGATCTAATGAAGATTTAATAATGAAGAGTTACGTGAGTGAATCATATTTTGTTGTGTGTTAACCTGATGCACAACACAATTTGTTTCTTTTGATATGATTTTGCCTTGGCTCAATACTACCTTCACAATCATCCAAGAATAACCACAATGAATCATCATTAAAATTGGTTGACAACATTAATGATTCAATTATAATAATGAGTTGACAATCATAATGGGTCAATAATAATTATATAATAATGGGTTGCTAACAAAGAGTGAACAACATTTGGGATGAAAGAGATATGTTAGCGTGCAAATCCCAGATTACCCAGGATACTTAAAACCCAGCCAGGTATTCATGTAGTGTTAAATTTCATGAATTATTGAGAATACAAATGATTGTCCCTTGTAGTCATCAAGTCACATGTTGTAAGCATTGCCTGAGTTATGGATGTCATAATCATGTATTGATGGTAAAGTGATCATGTGTTGAGATGATACTCTTGAATTAATAATCAAGAGCTAATGAGCTGAATTTCCTCCATGGTTGGAGTGAATAATCAGATGCATCAGTCCATTTCCAGCAGTTAACAGCAATGGGCACTAAATCCAAGCTCTATATCCAAGCAACAACAATAATTAAAAAAATAGTCCTGAGTTGTTCACTCATTTATGACTCTACATGCCTTACTGCATTCAGTCTCAGTTTGTCACTGCCAGTTGGCACACTCACTTCATTCATATTTGAAACTGTCCCCATTTCCAAACCAGATATATACTTTTTGAAAGTCAGAAAACCTCAGGTTTGGTTGTGGTAATATTTGTATGATTCTTTTTGTATATCTCTATAATTGGTGTTGGTTGGAAATAGAGGTTGGATGTAGATACACCCATTGATAGCATCACATCATTAGATGTGAGGAAATTTCCCAGTAGAAACACAGGTAATCCTAAATCAAAACATGGGTAATCACAAGCTAATTCTGAATACTTGTCCTTCCTGTCATATTGAAAGGCACTCATCTTGAACAGATTTCTACTACCCCACACATGGCCAAAGTAACTGTGCTTCAGCCATATTCTCATCCAACAAAATCTCTCTTCATTTTTGAGGCTCAGAATCTATTCTTGCCTCCAAAAAAGAATAGTCTTCATTTTATCTATAAATCATAGTTCATTATGACCTTTATTTTCTTTATTTTTTCTCATTAAGAGAGTGACCATTCCAGTACCATTCCAGTTTTCTTGTGTAAGAAGGTTAGCATCCATCAGTTACAAAAAAAGTCAGAATCTCAGAAGTGAGCAGAGTTGGCAAAACATTTGTTTTGTACTTTGCTGTGTTGCTAGGAAGCCATGGCCCTTCTTCTCACCCCCCACAACCCACCGGTGCCCAGTTCTACCCAACTTCAGACAACCACAACTCAACCACCTGTGAATGAGCTAGAACTTTCCATCGGTGGCCACAATGTTCCACAAGTCTCATTGCAGTGAACATCTTACACCCTCGCACCACAGCCTCAATTTAAATACCTCCCCCCTTCCCACTGTAAAGTCTCCCTACCTCCTTACCGTCTTACCAACATCCTCCAGCGTTCTGTCACACATAAACCGTGTCTCACCTCTCTGTTTTCATCAAACCACCTCTAAGTCACACCTCACTTCACCCACTGTTTTCCTCCGGTATGTGTGCAGAAAGCCTTGTTATCCGAATGGGTGAAAAATTCCAACTGACACCTTATCTTGTTTATGTGCCCCTTGATAGTGCTGAATACCATCCATACCATCACCCTCAATGGCATCCCAAATCACGTTTGGCAGTTTACCGAGTTGGCCTTTGGGGCCTCAAGACAACACCGAGTCTGCCACCAACCCCACCAGCGCTTCTGTCGGGACCACCAAGATTTTCCCGCAGGGACCAGGAACTGCAACTCCGGCTGGTCAAACTGGTACTTTGTTCAGACGGGTGCTAGTTACTCCCTCGACTCAAAGCTCATCGGCCCCATCCAACACTGGTGACCCTTCACTTCCACCCCCGCTTGAGCTCCCTGATCTCCCCACCCCCACCGGTGTTGCTACACCAAGCGTGCACGCAAAAAACGCTCGTCTCGAGCTCAGCAAGGACCAGCAGCGGCTGAACAACCCACCACCTCGGTTACTGTTCAGAATCAGCGCTCGCCTACACCTGAAGTTGACCTCACTAGGTTCCAAGGGCGTCACAAGCGGTCCAAGCTGTCCGCTGAAACCATGGAGCAGGTCAACCAACAGTCACTTGATCAGCTCCGCCGCACCGTTGCAAAAGACCCGGAGTATCTGCGTCTTACGGTGGCCGACAAACTTCAGCTCGATGCAGCTTACCGGGCATATCAGACTGCCGTCCATCGGATTGCGATTGAGAATAAACTTCACATCAAGCCGGTGTTAGATTACCTTGGCAATGAAGCTCGCATCCGAGGACCCTCATGCTACAACAACTTTTGCAAATATGATCCGATTTCTGGTGCAATCAATCGTGATAGTAAGTTATCTGCGTCTCTCACTTCAATAATGTGATTAAGAATTGATGGTGTTTTGATCTTCAATCAGAAACCATACCTTCCACAGAGCGTGCCTCTAAGTGTGGTTCTCTCTGGCGACAGCTCACTCGAGAAGAGCAGGCCCAATGGAAAGATCAAGAATATCTCGACTCGCTTCCTGCTCACATTGAAGTGGAATCCACCACAACAGATGTGAACAATCCGACTGGGTCAGCTACTTCTGCACCTGCACCCAGGACTCTACCTCGCGACCGTTTCAGTCTTAAACGATGGGCTCACAAAGTCAAAAGAGAGGTCAGAACTACTTCACTTTTTCATGCTTGGGATTGGAGTCTGATTTTTTGCTTGCTCTGTCAGCTCCGAAATCTCAGTACTGCTCATCAGGTCGAGGGATACTTGGTCCTTGCCTCGCGTGATCCCATTAGACCCGTTCTCATCACTGGTGGTAGCCACATGGGCGAGGAGTTCCTCGACATCCTAGCTTCCGATACCAATCAGTGCAACTCTTTCTTCAACTTTGTTAGTGGGAAGCAGGCTGTTAAGGATGTTTCAGGACGATACCCCCCTTCGATCAATCCGAGGAAGCGACGTCGCGGTGTTGATGGTGACGATCCCAACTGTCCACATGATCTAGGTATGTAAACTCATCTCCTCTGACACTGGTCTCCTGCAATCTATGAAAACTAACCAACTATTTTGGTTGATACAGGGAGCAAAAAGGCCAATACCAACGAAGTTCGGAAATTGCTCCGAGACGCATTGAGTAAAGCCACGCATGGCGCTTGGCAAAACGGCTGGCCGGGTACCAAAACCGCTGCAAAGTTGCGCCAACTTGGTGTAACCCTCTCGGTTCAAGACAACGATCAAAACATAACTGCTGCCGACTTTTGTAAACGACCATCGGACATGTTCATTGGCCAAACACAGCGAATTCTCTTGGCTTTCTCAAAAGGATGGGTCAAGATTACCGGTCCACCTCAGCCAGGCCTGTCTTCAATTGGTCTCAATCCGAACGAGGACGAAGAGAGTGGAAGTGGATCGGAGGTCAACGAAGCCACTTCAAGCAGACCAAAGAAGGCTCTCCCCAAGAGAAACGCACCTCCAGCCAAGAGAAGTGCGATCACAACCACCAAGGCTGTCTATCCTAGGATAGGCAAGATTCGCAAACCTCGTACCGTTCGTAAGAGGCGGAATGCCTCAGCAAGTAGTTCTTCTTCAGAGGAAGAGGATCATTACTCCACCGACTCATCATCTGATGGTCAAACTACTTGGGAGCAGTCTGCAGATACCAATTTCGGCACCCCTTGTTCAGCTGCCGAGTCAGCGATTGCTGCTCTTGCCTGACTTCACATGAGATTGAAGTCAAAAACCTCAATCAGTTGCCTCCTTCTCGCTATCTGTCTCCTCACCGTTTTTTCAATTCTTTGTTGCTCATTCACTCCTTAACCTGACTTATGTCTGCTTCACGATCTTTTCTTTTCTGATGTCTCTCCTTAATGAACTTTTTTTGTCATTTCCTTTTCATTCATTATGAATCTTTGTCCTCTTCTTGTCGTCGCTCCTTCATGAATCTTTGTCCTTTCCTTGTCGCTCCTTCAGGACTCTTATACTGTCCAGTCCTTGAGTCAAATTTCAACCTTTACAATCAGATCGGCACGTGAGAAATTGACTTTTGATTCTTCTAATTACCAACCAATTGCGACACCTGAGTGCGATTGCCTCTCCTTTTCTACAAATTCCTTTGTTAGCTGCCTCGGTTGATTGAGACAAACTTGAACTCATGCTCTGGTGCTGCTTAACTCACTCAAGCACTCTCACCTCAGTATCAGTTCCATTGCCAGCTATTCAGTCACCTGAGATCGACATGATGGATTGTGGAGTGGCAGGCTAAATCCCTACTAGTCTGGAACAACTGCAGCTGCATTCAGAGCCGCTTGTCGCAACATGTGTGGTTGTCGCTCAAGTGAGTTACTGTGATTTTGGTTGTGGTTTTCGCTCAAGTGAGTTATCTGTGATTTTGATTGTTGCTTTTGCTACACCAAGCTATCATTTGCAAACAACATCGGAAAAGTCAAGGATGAAATGGTGGTGTATGCATTGGAACCGGTGAACAACAATGGGAGTGTACAACATTGGATAAAAAAAAGTTTCAGATGGCAAGTTGTTGAATCAAGGCAGTCTTGCCCTGATGAGTGGTGTATCGACGAGAATGAATCAAGGAGGATTGAATGAGGCAAACAAGGGAAAGAATGTGTAAGCGGTGTGTAAGAGTGCAATGCCAGAATGGCAGAGAGTGTGGTCTTGTGTAACATTGTGGTGGCCGGGTGGCGAGTGTTATGACCAGAGTGTGTGTATGACCGGAGAGCGTTATGAATGGACGGCTGACGATATGACACCGAGGGACCGGTGAAGTGATGTTGTAGCCGTCGGGGATCTGAAGTGTTATGGAAGCAGATGGGTGAACGGGGGTTTGGTGATGACGAGAAGAGAAAGGTACTTGCCCAAATTTGGAGGTCCCAAGGAGCAGCTAGAGAACGCGACTTTGGAAAAAATTTCGGCCGCTTCGCCGCCCAATATTTGCCGGGTTTTCTGGGTGTCCTGGGAATCTCAGGGTTTCTAATTTTTGGTGGGGGAGGGTCGGTATACGGTGTCTGGTGTCCCCGTCTGTACAGGTCTATAGTATGGGGTATAGTAGGGGTCACAGGTGGACCCAGGCCTGGGTCCTATGGGATAGCCCAGTATGTATATAAAAGTACATATCCAAACTCCCACACTCCCCTCAGAAGGGGAGTGTGGGCCCACACTCCAATCAAAATTGGAGTGCAGGTCTGCACTCCAACCTGCTGGGGGACTGCTCCTGCAGATTGTTGGAGTGTGGACCCGCACTCCAATTTTGATTGGAGTGCGGTCCCACACTCCCTTCAGAGAAGGGAGTGTTGGAGTGTGTGTGCAAAGGGGGGTGGAGTGTGGTTATCATTCCCCATCAAGTGACACTCAGAGAAAAGGCTTGGTCAGGACTAATGATTTCTCATTGTGTCAGCCTCTGGGTAACTAACCTGAGTATTTAATAGTAAAAAGGTTGTTACTATGAGTTGACTGAAGTTTTTTGAGCGTGGTGAGTGTTAGGTAGTGGGTGATTAATACCAGTCCTGTAAAGAGGAGGTTTCACTCTATCAGTATGGTCTTTACTGAGAGGCTTGCTATCAACAGCGCATCCGGATCAATACAAGGTATTAATAGGCATCCAGGGTACTAAGACTCACCTGGGATTGATTTGGTTATTCCCACAAGGGAATGGGCTAACAATACTTATTAAGCTTTAACAAAATTAGTTGAAGATTAACAGGTATTGTTGATGGGAATATTCAGCAAGGCTATGAATACTGTGGATAAGTTGAGTAAGAGTACTGAAGCTTAAGAACAATAAATGTAGACAAGATTTATGTTGGTTACGTGTACTGTATCAATATAAATGTTAACTGGTTTAACTGGTGTCTGAATATTCTGGGGATTAATCAGTGAAAGAGGCACTGATTATAAGTTCCAGAATATTGAAGGAGGGAAAGAATGAGCGCTCAGGATCAAGGGAGCTTTGGCCAGGAGTATGAGCACATCAATTGAGTGACTGATCATTATTTGTCATGATCTGTAAGTGACATCATAATTGTGTACTAGTTGATCAATGTACTAGTTGCTCTTGATGTGTACTTAACAGATCCTCTAATAATGTAGTCATAATTGTGATCAGTGCATGTATTGAATGTATTAATTCTATTGATACTTAATACTTACTATTCAATACCTGTACATATTTATTTGTAATAATATTTGACCGTGAAAATACTGTAGCAGAGGGATAACTTGTGGTACAGGTATTTCACGGACAAGGGAGTGAAAGGTAAGTGATAATTACTTATGTAGAACACAGGTATGTATTTGATAGATAAGTAATTAACAGATAAGATAAATGTAAGATAAATAAGATAAGATAAGTTAATGATAATAATAAGATAACAAGAGGTAAAGGTAATCAACATTATGGATAAGTACTTATGTACATAAGTACAGGTGTTGCAGTTACTTGGTACATGAAAGGTACTGTGAGATGTACTCTGTGGCTGACACTTCCTCCCTCTAAAAAAGGCTGATCCAAGAAATAAATTACTGTTATTTTCTTTTATCAGCTCTGTATTGTC